ATACATAAGTACCAACTTAAACTAAAGGCGCGTAATTTCAAAATTCAAATCTTAGTTACTACATCTGTTAGGTAACATGCACGTTAAGTTTGACACAGGGCTGATTGTGAAATTTAAAATCATGATTAATGAAATGATAAGTTCTATTTGTAGAACACTACAACCCCTCTAACGTAGCACACCAATTAGACTTTATTCCTGGTCTTCGATCACGTACGTTCCTCTGTCATAACGGGTCTACAAACTTTCCTCTCTAATGCCCGCAAAAGATAAAAATTACTCCCATTTTCAGATCGTCCACCTTTATGCGAACAAACATAAAAGGTAGAAATAACTTAGGTACCCACTTTCGAGGATCTACAAGGAATTTCGCTAAGCAATTTATGAAACGCTCGCTCTGTTATTACCTTGTTTAAAGAAACCGGCAAAACGTAAAAAAGAAACGGAGCACTTGTTTAAAATGTGCAGCCATGTGAAAACGATTTTCCCTATTAATAATCTAATTGAATTGGGCCGAAAGTCTGTATAAAAACAACGTTTTTCGTTTTGAAAATGCAAACGTTAAAATTAGTGTAGAGGGAAAAATGAATTTCTCGTTGGACTTTCAGAGAGATATAATGAAAAATAGCTTTCTCACGTGACCTCCCTTTTTAGTGGAATTTTACAGAGAATTACAGCTTCCACCTTATTTTTTTGTTATGTCCTTTACAAAGACCGCATAGTAATGCTAAGTCTGGAACGTGTTTCAGTTCTCGTACAATTTTCTATATTGCACTTCTATGTCACATCCCTTTGTATTTTCAGCCGTGTCTCGCTCGACGTCCGTTAAACTACGAACCGAAACACTTTCCATCAAGATTCAATTTGGGGCATATTTTTTTCTTCGGTTGGCCCGAGTCACTGCCATTTTTTAGCATTAGAGATGACATCTGAGGGGAAATATGGAATGAAAGCCGTCTGTGACAAGTCGAAGGATTGTAAAGCCTCATTTTTTCCCTTCGGTACAGCACATTTATATGTTACTACACTACCACGTTTCGTGCAATTTGTAAAACGAATATCGAAATAAAATAATTAGCGTAGAAACCAAGTGATCTGCGGACCTTTTTCTTTGGGGCTAATAATACATCAATTATTGTAGCAATCATTGCTAATTAAGTAACATGAACTGCCCGAAGCGTCAATTTGATGGAACAATGTGAATTGTATATTAAGTAACGAGGAATTAAGAAGAGTTTTTGTTCCTGTAAGAATGGTTTAAAGCCCGATTCACGTAGCATTAATGGAGATTCTGAAAACTATAAAACGCGCACGCAAAAGAGAACAATGCGCTGCAATTTTAAACAATGCGCTGCATTTCTTTCAGGAACATTAATAAATGAAATGTGTTCGATTGAACTCATTCAATAATTTTGGTGCACTCTGTGCAGTAATTCGTGGAATTCAGTCGCGATACGCGCTTGGTTTAAATACGTAGCACTGTTTTAAGATTTCACCATCGGTAATTTATAGAAACGGCGGTTAACTTATTTATCGCGCTGTTACCACTTAAATTGGTACATATTTATTATAGTACTAGACCGCCCATATTATTACGTGATAAATTAACACGTTAACGATACAATATGAATATACGTAAATTTCCTCTAAATTAGGAGTAAAAAGTAATCAATTTCCAATTGAAAAAACGTAGCGCCCCTACGTTAGTGTTAAAAGCAAAGCAAGTAAAGTCAAAAATGCGCTGCACTCTCGAAAAAAAGAGCAACTTCCAGGGAAAAAGGTTCGGCTCTGAAAAACCTTCCGATTTTATTAATACAGAAAATAGATAGTGTGACATCTAGCGGCAAACTAAAGAACAACTCTACCATACATCTAAACTTAACTGATTTACAAAGGAAAAACATAGATGGCGTAAGAATATCGAATATAAATAAGAGTAAAAAAGTTTGGAATTTTAAAGTGTTGAGAAAAGAACGTTACAAAACATACCACGAATGTCGAATTAATAAATGATCTCAAAATATTACAAGTAGGACACTAATATGTAGACTTGAAATGTCACCATTTAAATTTAAATCACTTTTTAGCAAAAGAAAAAGGATCAACTCGTAGTCAGGGAAATTATCAATATCAAAACAGTCTTCCGCAGAAAACAACGAAGCTATATTGTTAAATGATTATCAAACATATATTAATTACAATTCGATTGTATCGAAAACCAGTATGTAATCAAACGTTATATCAAGGTGTCGTCGAAAATAAATATATTACCTTATTAACTGCAGGTCGCAACAATTTCAAGGTAAGAAGAAGCGCGTTTCTGCGTTATCTGTCAGATTTTATTTATTTACTTATTTATTTATTTATTTAGATATTTATTTATGTACCGAGAAATATAAATATGTAGCAGGCGAAGCACATAAACAACTAAAGGGATAGTGAATAGCGCGGAACATAAATATTGCAATCGCAACTAGCAAATTCTTCGTAATGACACAAGTAACGTAAATAAAAATCGTAGATATCTTAATATAAAGGATATGAAACGTAGTTAAGCTAATACGAATGAATTTTCGGAACAAAGGTAACGTAAACCCAAGTGAAGTATCGGAAGGTATAATCTTCGTCACGACAAAAGTAATGTACGTAGCATCAGAAATATTAAAGCGATTCACAAGAGCACTAATCTGCAAAAGATTTGCAGCTAAAATTTAGGAACAAATACGATGTCATCCCAGGCTCTGCGTCGATGTAAGTCGAAATACTACGGTAGATAATAAATAAATAAACCAGAAGAGAAAATTAAGAGAAAACTATGAGAAAAGATAAAGCCCCAAAAAAATTACGTGTTAAAAACAAGGTTGAGTCAAATCTGTACATACCTCCCAGCGTAACTACTTACAAATCTAAATCCGATAGGCGTATTCAATGGAGCAGCTACAACACATAAGATATCGAGTGAAAAACTATAATAGCCACTACAAAAAATCACAATTCAGGTAGACATAAGTAAAAAAAGTAATGGCGTATTAATAAAAATAATTCACCAGTACCAGTCTTCTCTAAAAGGAACAAGTACAGCTTGTACGTAAGACAAAATTAAAGAAGAAGTGATAGAGTTATGTGCAGAAAGGTACATAGCGTGTCCTCTAGCGGTAAACTAAAGAACTACAGTAATAACTCCACCATAGAAGTAATTTACATCTAAAGTAAACGGATGTGCAAAGGAAAGACTCTATGTCTAAGAATATCAAATATAAATGAGAGTATGAATCGAATGTTACTTAAATTTGGAATTTTAAATTACGGAAAGAACATTACAAAACACACAATGAACAAGCAAACAATGTGAAATAAGATGAAAAACCATATTGTCACATTAACGACTGAACGGAGAACAAAAGAAAGCCATTTACTTTTAGAAAAAGAGAGACCAAATCGGAAACTGAAAAGAACCACGCGGGAAATGGAAAATATACACCGAAAGAAAGCACCGAAAAGATAGAAACCAAGAGGGAGTGTTGTTGATTTGATTGTGTAACGGGAGCTGTAAATTTGTATTTCAATTTTTGGAAGTGAAGTTAGATGGAGTTAGAGTTTTTTAAGTTTTGGGGTTTGAATAATTTAAAAAATGGTGTAGCATCAAAATATTTAAGTTGTCGAAATTTAGTAAAGTTATTTCCCAGATAACGTCCTCTTGCTGGAAATTCAAAGAATAAAGTTGTCAACCGCGGTCAAAATGGTGTGCGTCTTTATTGCACATATATCAATACAATAGGACATTGTTTCGTAATGGGTTTAGGAAGTCAGGCTTCGTCAGGTCGCAGAAAAAAAAAGCTGCAGATCTGATGTTCACGTAATCAAAATGCCACTAAGCTGAATTCCAGTGTGCAGCTAGTCAAAAATTGTCTTGAAAAATAATGATTGGTGTAATGACTACACGCCATGTAAAAAAAGGTGTGAACTAATTAATACCAATTAGGGGAGATCATTTTTTGGGAAGATTTTGAGTAGGTAATTCGTTTTGCTCCAGTCAAAGCGACCAGTATATGGTCCATATATAACATTTATTCGCGTTTAATCGCGGTAAAGAACTATATTACGGGATACCAAGAAAACTTAAAAAGGGATAATAAAAAAGGACGTTTGGGCCGTTTTTACCAGTGTATGGCCCCTAGTAAAATTTGATATTCGATTCAAAGACACCTGTCGCGACCAGTATTCGTGTTTGGACCGCGAAATTTACTCGAGAAGTGGTAAATCACATTTTCCTAATAAATAATTAATTGTTGTAGTTTAATCGCATTTGAATCATTTTAGAGGAATTGCTGGATCAATCGCCATTTTAGAATCAACTTCGTTGGGGGATGACAATTTTCTTTCCGCAAAAGTGCATGTTAACGAGGAATTGCGCTTTTTGTAAATTGTTACTCTATGGCCCTATTTAAATTCAAAATTTTATTTTAAAAAGTCTCATTGTCCACCTCTTGTGCTGTTATGGAGAACTTTAACTCTCTACTCTACTCTCTACTAGTTGCTGCTTTTTTCCCAATGGTGAAAGATAAAAAAACATCATAGGCCATTTTCTTTATGGTATAGGTACTCAAGAGTGTTACCCAAAACATTGTCTTTCTACAAAAGTTGTATTATAGACCCAGAAATCATTGCCAAAATTTGATATAATTTCGGTTTCGAAACCTTAATAAATCGTTACCAATTACACGACCGCATCAAAAGAGAAACGTGGCATTGAACTGAACTTTAAGCTTTGCATTAATCAGAACGCTCTGAAAGCAATCGAGACAAAGTAAAGTTGATTAAAATGTTTACTCCCGCATCAATCGTAAATAAAGGGAGCACCTCACAAGGCACGTAGCTGCTACCTGATAAATTATAGCTTATTATTTTCCTTTGAAACGCGGTAGGCTTGAATTTGACAAAGGAAGTGGATTTGTGACAAGCAAAAAGTGAAAGCCCGTATATTCTCTATTCTCGTACCAATGGCGAACGAAGAGTTTGTAAGAACATTGAACATGGCGATCGGTCTCGTCCGGTTCGTTTTTCGCTTGGGATTCATACCGATGGTGATGTGGATGGGGTGGCAATTAGGACCGGAGCCAGGTAGTCCGCAATTTTCGATCACTAATTTGCTGTGGCTCTATTAGACTTTCGCACTTTCGTCCGTTCATCTTCTATGAGAAATGGCAATGGGAAATTTACTGTTATTTATTAGTACCTTTGTTTGTAAACGTATCTGTGTCCTCTGAAGATGTACCTAAACATATTTAAATAAAACGTGTATAATTATTTTTATTACGATCAAAAGGAGTACTCTTCATCCCACTGTACACACTCAAATATAGCATATCATCCACTGTCTCATTTTGATTCTCCAACGTTTCATCCCTCCTGTCATTTACTTCGCACATTATGAGATGAGATGTTTTCCTTCCTACCTTTCGATGTATTTATCAAGCGCCTCCTTGATTATCCCATACCTCATTAGTGGGACCAGCTTCTCTTCGCCGATGTTATACTCATCAGTCGGCAAAGCCATGCCTTTACTGCTTCTTCGTCATTTCCGTACTATTTTCCACCCAAAACTCCTTCAACTTTGGAAACAGGTGAAAACCGCTTCGTGTTAGGTCAAGACTGTAGGCAACTGGCCCCTCTGGAACCATATTCGCGTTCGTGTGACTAGACAGGTGGGATACCGTGGCGGTTCCCGCGGCGCTCCACATTTATAGAACTTTTATTTGGTATCAGCACCTATAATAATGATGAGTCACCTTGTATGATGCAAATCTCAATTTTTAAAGTTAAATGTGGTAACTAATTTTAGATTGAACACATAAACTCGATCATATTATAAAGAGTTTATCTCCGGTCAATGCGATAAGAGTTCGTTATCGCTGCAAAAAATTAATTATTTTAGATAAGCTGTGATAAACCGCGCTTCACACGGTTTATCTAGCTTTCGCACCTTCATAATTGAGTATGGGAACCGCTTTTAATGCACTAGATTTCCATAGAAAATTTTACATTTAATCGCTTTGATATCCATCTTAATATTTAATTTCTTTGAATAATTTGTTGGAATTGTAAGAGTGATCAAGCCTGCTGGAGCTGTAATACAGTTAATTTAATATTTTTCTAAATATTCCGACACGCCATACGAAAAATGCTTCACTGCAATATTTAATTAACTGCTAGAGTTCTAGATAAATTGTTGTGTTGCGTCCTTTTTCTGACTATTGGGCACATTCTCCGGCGTAAGTTTGAGACGCTCTAAAATAGTACAATTCGTGTGCATTTAACAATTTGGGTTAAAAATAAATTTTTGTTACAGAGTGACGACTACATATCACTGAGGGTTGGAGGAGTCCCTGCCCTAGACGACTCGGTCATTGCACTTTTGGCCGGTAACCACGCACCGCCCGTCATTCCGATACCAGTTGAGGATAAATCGCAACCTGCAAAACCGCATATGGTTACCGAAAACCAGCTACCGATTTTTCCGTCAAATATGACTCCAACAGATGGCCATTGGCAAATCGTCAACGGCACTAAGTAAGTTACTTTCGTGGCACTACTTCTGCGCGTACCTTTGAGGTCTGAAATGGATGTCATCTAAATTTAAAACTTTTTGATTTGATTGATCACAGAGTACTTTTATATTGCTCACTTATAATGTTTCCATATGTTCCCCAACTAGGCTTGGTGACTTAAATGTTTACCACACACACCTTTTTAAAAATGTTAAGTTCCAAGTTAGGCACCTTTCCCTTTAGAGAGTTTACTATTTATACCTACTTTTTTTCCATAAATTTCAAATGAACTAGATTAATTATTGTGTTCGCGGTTTTTTAACTAACCCCAACTGAATGTCAAATCTAATAATAATATACGACATAATCAATTCTAGTGGGATTTTAAACGCTAAAATACATGCAATACAAAACGCCTTCAGTTGTCCATTGGTTGATCTCTTTAAGAACGTACAAATCAAAATTTTGCTTGTCAAGTGTTTTTTTAATTCAATCAAACATACGATGATGATTTTACTTAAAGATCTAGACATAATATAAGACGCCCCTTTTGTAGGCGACGACGCCTCGGCGTTAAAAATTATGGGCAACCACAATTTTATTAACACAACGGTTTGGTGTTAACGAGTTTTCCACCCAAACAGGAGAAATCTTCATTGTGTAACAATTTCCACATGTTGATTTTTCTTACTGTTTCCTACTGCGACGAGTATAACAATTTTAAGGCTACGAAGACAGAGTGCAATTATCTCTTTGGATTCAAGGGCAGCAAACTACTTTTAACAATCTTTATGGTAACGAAAAATTACTGGCGCGCTGAATTAGTTCGTCCTTGATTCCGACGAACCCCTATTCTTTATTAAGCGAACCAACGCCTTTTTCCATATGACGTCTACTAATTAAATCAACAATTTTTACTCATAAAAATACAATGCCCCATAGAATTCAAATGACACATAAAAGACGATCGTTAATTCCACCAACTGTTTACAGGCCCATTCTTGCAATTTCAATAATCATGCTACTTATTTGAAAATCTGGTCTTCTAAGTTTTTTACACCCTTAAAATTAAAAAAAAATGTATCTAGGTATCTCTGTAAAGACAAAATAGAGCCAAACGTAGAACTTCGCTTACACACTACACATTGTGAATTACAGTTACCGTTTAGCGTTAAGAAGGTTCCTTCATTTAATGATTAATTAATTTATTATTATTATTTATTAATTAATTTAATGACTTTGATTTATTTGTAATTCGAACACGGCTAACGCCTATAAGATATAAATTGCTTCTAATGCGACATAAAAGGTTACTGTGTAATAGATGATGAATGTTGCTAATTCAAATAATGTGGCATTCAGAACATAAATTAAACTTTATATGTACGTACGATTCAAATCAAATGAATAATCGTTCGATAACTCATTATTATGAAATATATTTGTTTCGCATGGGTATTGTAATTGACTTATCGGACGTCTGTATGGCGCCTGCCACTCGTTTAGAACGCATTGAAATTCAAATTCGAATGAATGAACAGTTTAGATAACGGATTTAAATTGGCGATCACGTTTTTTCGACGCTATTGAAACATCCGAACCATTTTATGTCAGTGTCCAAAATTGTTTACACACGGCTATAGGTATTTGTAAATGTGGTAGCTCAACAAAGCTGTCAGAATCAAATCCCAATCGACTTTACAAGAAAAGTGTTATTTAAAATGCGGATGGTAGTTTTATGTGCATCCATCGGTCCGTCTGTCTAAGAACGAGATCTCAATAGGGTCGTAGAAAACGTGTCGATAACTCATTTAATAAGTACACATAGGTCGGCTATCACTGCAGCCATAATTTATTAATCACTAATTACACCGGGGAAACGGCGAAACACATTGTTTTGTTATAGACTGACTGAATTTTGTACTTTTCCGCTCCTACTACGAGTAGAATCAGTAGAAATCCCGGCTGTTGCGGAGTTCCAATTTTTTTTCAAAAATTTTTAGTTTCCTTCGGACCCTAAACCTCGGAAAACTACCTACGTACATACGTACAGACGCAAAAATTATTATTACTATTATTTAATAGTTGCCTAAAATGATCCACATTTTATAAAATTTTAAATCGCTCAAAAAACAGTGATCGAGCTAAGAAGCTAATAATTGATTCTAAAAAATTAAAAAAAAGATTTTTTCTCCAACCACCTGAATAAGACGCTATTTTGTGACAGTATTCGGTACGTAAAATTGACGTTTTGCGGATTAATCGCTTTCACCATGGCAACTGTACAAAAAGTGGATACTTTTGGTCCTAGTACCAAAAAGAAATTGACCTTGAAAGTTGGCCAATTAAAAAATTACAATCACGGAGATATGTCACATTGACATCGTTTTACATTGCAGGTTGTAAGATATTTCTATACATACAAATCAAATATTTTTGCATATTCAATGGAAATAATTATGTTACCTATACGTATGTACATGTATTGAAAATGGTTTACGCTCGCTATGTTTATTTAAACCATGTGTAACGTAATTTACATATTCGATGAACGTAATTTTAATACGTATACAACCCGCCGTCGCGCGTAACGCCATCTACTTCAGACCCATTGCACTATTATCTGTCATTTTGAATTCAAAATTTGAAAAAGTTAATTGCAATTAATTTTAATTAAAAAACTGTATGGTAAGTTTTTTATTTCAATACAAAATATAACAATATTAATTGTGTATACAATAGAAATGACTGAAACTGATAGCGACATGGATTGCACTCCGCCGAGATTTTAGAAACGGCAGAACATGCCTCAAGATTTGCTCCCTCCAAAGTCGCGAGAGGTGAGAAGTAAGAAGTAAGAACGAATAGGTTACAAGTTAACCTAAAAACTAGAGTGGCATGACACGTGAGGACAAGAAAGCAGAAGTTCTTATACTAGTAGACTGAATCTAAATTCGAATATAATTTGAAGTAAAGGGGGTTGGTGAAAAAATTTTATGTTTTATTCGTACAAAAAATGCGTTTTCGGGACTCGGAAGGTTGCTGGACTCCGCTAACGCGTCGTCCAGCAACTATCTTCCTCGTCCCGAAAACTGACATTTTTTGTACTACTAATGAAACAAATAACTATTAGAAAAATTAAATTAATGCAGGAGCCTTGTCCCTTCTAAAAATCTAATCTGAGATTTGTCAAATCATGTGTGGTTTGAAGAGTGGATATCAATTTCGGTACAAAGTGTACCAAAACGATAAAAGTAATGCAAAAATAGTAACGATAATCATCCGTTTATTTTGAACCTTTGGTACAATGTTAATTCTAGACACTAATTATCCCATGTATTGTGTCAACATTTCATCTCTTACACTATTGACCAATACGGACGATGGGATGACCTATTGTATATTTTCCATATTTTTTGTCAATAAATGGATATGAGTATGAAAAAATGACTCTGAACTACTTAATTATATTACGTTTTTTCAACATCAAAAGTGTGCAGAGTCGACAAAATCTTGTGGAAAACGATAAAAAAGCAAAACCTGCAATAATAAAAATGGTAAATCCCTGTAATTGCGCTCTGATCCCCTTGGGGTAGAGAATGGATAGAAAGCGTAAGAGCGCACACTACTGAATCGAATTATCTAAATTTGTTTACTGTAAACGTTTAAACGTGCGCAATTGCCCATGTTTATTTATCCCGTGTATTTTACTGTTTCAGATTCAAGTTTTTCGTATTTTCCGCGTACTTTGACAGGAGGAAAGGACAACGAGCGGTAAGAATAGTCGCTGCTACGAAAACGAGGGGAGCTGAGAGGGTTTGGTGTCGCTTATGGTATCGTCCATTTACAACGGAATCAAACTCTACATCATACATATCGAGAACTGTACCTGCTAAAATTAAAGTATGATGATGGGCATGGCCTAGAACTCTTTGATTTAATCTAAAAATGAAGACGATCAAATTTAGTACTCATGAAAATTTATACCGCCAATCTTGCTTTAGGTAATTCGAGAAAATTGGAATCTGAAGTACAGTGCTTGTTTCGTTTTATGTCCATTACAAGCAAATCAAACAGCACCGTTCGCCGTATCCGTCGTCGTACGCCTTTTGAGTCCCCCAGCAAATTTACTCACTGTAAACGATAACTACAACGACACAAAGGCGACGAACAAATTTGGAGTTTGCATTAAGCCCTTACATTACGAATACAACGGCGTAAGTATCGGCGTCACTGTCGCTCACACGAAATTGACTTTCTTTACAGGCACTCCAGATTCTGGAATTTATAGAGCTGAATCGTATTATGGGAGTGTCGCATTTTACCTTTTACAACCACACGATTGGACCTCAGGTCAGGTGTATTTTAAAGCATTACATGGAACGTGGTTTGGTCACGCTCCTCCCTTGGCAATTGAATATGGTATCCCAAAAGGAAATTCGCACAGAAGGTTTATTCGCCGCCCTAAACGACTGCCTTTACAGGTCCATGTATCGATTCTCGCATATCTTGCTGATAGATCTCGATGAATATATAATCCCGAGTCATAACCACACTCTTCCCCAACTCCTCGAGTAAGCTCCATGCACAAATAAATCAATAGCATTACCATTACCTTTTTAGTTTCCTATCAACAAAGATGAGTACCAGAACGACCGGATCGTATTCATTTCAAAACGCCTTCTTTTATCTCCAGTGGGGGGATGACGATTGGGTATACAACAGTAACGATCCCATCGCGATTAATCTAGTTACGTTAAAGAAGACTAGACGTAAATCTAAGCTTCATCCGCACAAGCAACGTTCCAAATACATTTGCAAGCCCGAATTCGTAGTGGAAGCCGGAAATCATTTCGTTTGGGAATTTATCCCAGGGCACGGTACGTATAACGTTCCAGCCGACGCGGCCATTTTGCACCATTATAGAATATGCGAATTCGGCGGGGACGATTGCATCAAAACGGCTTCCACCGTTGACCAAACGGCATTTAGATACCGAAAGAGTTTAGTTAGCGCCGTTAAGAACAGTTACGAGTTTTTTAAGGACACGTGCGGGTTACGAGATTTAACTCCACCAACAACAAATAGTAGGTTTTTAAAAATCTTAAGAGATAATATTAAAAAAATTAAGAGCAACACAAGATAATAATATAATGTGATCCTTCGATAAGTATTATTGTAATATAGTGGTGATAAAAGTGAAGAAAGACCATCCTGTACATTTAGCATATTTTCTAATTAATGTTACAATAAACCTAATTTGTATATGGACAATTGTTCTTAAATATTAGATAGGTACCTAGTTAATGTATAAGACTGTTCCTCAAGCAGCTAAAAGTTGTTTCAGTTCGGTACGTTTTTTTGCTCTAGGAGGTGTTGTATGCGTAGATACCCAAAATTAACAGAAGGCTGATTACAACACTGACATTTTTGCCAATAAAGAAAGTGAAAATATTGTTTAAAATAATGAAAAATTTCTTAATTGGCTTTAATTAACTACATAAGAACAATACGAACAATGAATGTATCCTGACGAACATATGTTACACACTCTAGAATAGTCAGTCTACTTGTATAAGATTTTATAAACGCATTAAATTTGTTAATTTTTTCATTACCTTTTATAAACAAAAGCAATATATAACTGTTTTGTATATATTAACAAACACATTTAACGGTATTACTTTTACTTTCCATTGATATTGTTAAATCGAACTTTTTGTACCACAAAACTTATGAACAAGCTAATTTACGACTATAATAAATTGACTTATTTTTATAAGGAGATACACATATATTGTCTAATAATTGCAAAAGCATTTTAATTTACTTAGATTTTAAGTACAAAATAAGAAATGTACACCACAAAAACATGATTTTGACAAAAGAAGATGAACCAAATAAAGTTTCCTAATGACATTGTTATACCTACCATCCATTCTTTAGGTTATTAACCTGTAGTGATAAAAACAGAAGCGAAGAGAACAAACGCAAAAGAATCAGACCATGGAAGAATGCAATGCCACAAGCAACGGAGTGGAAGAACGTTACAAATCTGCCCCTTTTTTCCTTCTTTGAGCGTAGAATTACTAAACTTGTTGAAATATTTCTAATTACAGATCATAGGTAGGTACTTCGCTAGATCTAGAGCCCCAAGTTACTGAAAACTGAGAGAAAATTGAAATATCGAATAATGTATAGGGTGTTCCATTTTAAAAAATCAGTCTTGGTCTGCCACGCCTTTATGACCGATCCTGTATAATAATTATTACTCCCTAGCAGACATTGCATTGTATAAATCTTTTTGCGATTTTGGCGCTTCTGACCTATATTCTGCAACTGTTTCATGACGTTTGCACCCAATTTTTTTAAATTCCGACACCCCCCCCCCCCAACAGCTCCCCTTACAGTCCTGGAGAAATGCGGTGAAGTGCTTCAAAACCGGGATTAAACTTAGAATTTGGACATTTCTCAACTATATGTTGGATGGTTTATTTAGGAACTCCGCATAGGCAGGTTGGATTGTGTTCTGGATTCCATTTGTGTAGTATATAATTGCATCTTCCATGTCCTGTTCTTATGCGATTTAATTTGACCCACATTTTTCTTGGAAGATCAAGCCCTGTATCTTCATTGGACGGTTCTTTGATTAAATTTCGATTAAAAATTGTGTCATTATGCTGTATCCAAAAAAATTTCCAACGTTCTTTAATGGAATATACATTTGAATGTATGTAGTCTTCTTTCCATAACGGGTTTCGTGATTTTAATCGATAAAAAGGTAAATTATTTAGATCTAAATTTATGGGGAAATCAGTTTTATTTTTATATTTGTCCCACAATTTTTTTAAAAACAATTCTCGTCTGATATTGGGTGGACCAATATTTGAGAGAACATGTAACCTAGGTACAGGAGTAGATTAAAATGTGCCGGTAATTATTCTCAATGTTGTATTCAGATGTGTATTAATCCTTGAGACATGGTGACTATTTTGCCATACCGGGCAACAATACTCTGCAGTTGAATAAACAATAGCTAAAGCAGATCTTCTTAAGGTTCTAGCATTTGCACCCCAATCTGTGCCGGTTAATTTTGACAAAAATTATTTCTAGTTTGTAACTTCTGACTAAGGGTTTACATTACATAGATTACGATTTCCAAAAACGGGCATCAAAAAAAGTGTATTCTAAATCAACATTATTTAAACATTAAATTTATAGTTTTTCTGGTGATTGTTTAAATGAAAACAGGTAGTAATCTCCATTGGCTATTATCTGCTTCAATTATTTTAAAGTCGTTATGTTGAAAAGTAATCGCTAAATCATTCGCATAAATAAATTTTCTTGAAATGGTTGTTGGAATATCATATATTATGTAAAGATTAAATAACAAAGGAGATACTACTGACCCTTGAGGAAGTCCGTTGTTGAGTAAACGGATTTTGCTACTTTTTCTCCGACAAAAACTTGCGGTTTGATAGCATTTTTTCAATTATGCTAACAATTTTACTACATTTTAGTACCTACATCATATAGTTTTGATATTAAACCGTCTTTCCATAGCGTGTCGTAAGCAGCCGTGAGATCCACAAGGGCCATCCCTATTTTTAAACCTTTTTTGAATCCGGCTTCTATATGTGTTGTTAGGGCGAGGACTTGATCAGTACAGTGTCATATTAGTGCGGAATCCTGCCTATTCAAGTGGTAGAACTGCTTCAAATGATGTATTCTACCATAGATAATTCTCTCGAATAATTTGTAACAAACCCTCAATAAAGATATTGGTCGATAATTTGAAGAGTCGTCATTAGACTTGCCAGTTTTTAAACTCGCAACAACTTTACTCTTCTTAAATTCCTCTGGTAATATCTCTGTTTCTAAAATGTTGTTAAAAAAGATGTTAGCCAATGTAAAGCTACTTTTCCTAAATGTTTTATAAATTCAGGCAAAAGACCATCAAATCCTGCAGCTTTTTGATTTTTCATTGTCTCAATTGCTAAAGTTACTTCTTCTAAAATAATGGGATTAGATAATTTTCCTGAAATCGTAGCGCTCCTTTTCGTTTGTTGAATTGACTTTTTCATTCTGCGTGTATTGTTGCTGAGTTTTATTGAATTTGACATCTTAATTAACGAGAGGCAATTTTATTCGGAGAAATTGTTGGAGTGTTATGGTTATGTGTAGGTACCTCCTAATTTACGAAATAACTTCCAGCAGCTTCGGCTGCTATGCGTGAAGTTACCATACTTTCCATTATTCCATTTCATTTTCCTCATTTGATTTAGGGAATTTAGACTTGCATTTGCATTTTCTGTAGTCAGTTCATTGTTATATTTTTCGTATAATTTATCCGATGCTTTTGTCCAACATGGTATATATGTTTTACGAAATCCTCTCGGGATTGATTTGTTTGCACTTGCTTTAATGACTCCTATAAATCTAGTATAATTCTTACTGGTTGGTGGCATCCAACGAACATTTGCATCAATTTGGCGTTTAAATTCAGACCATCTTGCATTTTGGAAATTCCAGCGTGCCTTGGGTATCGATTTATGTAATGATAGTTTAATTCCAATTTTTATCAAAACAGGTCTATGTTGACTATGAGGATAGTCATTGAGTACTGATCTAGACACTTACATGGGTGAATAATTTATGTCCGAGGAAGTTATGCAAAGATCTGGGTTGTAATCCTTTTTCCAACGTTCGGAATGAAACGTTTTCCTATCTTTTGCGTCGATTACAAGGTTAAGTTCGTAAGTTTCCATCCAATGTACTAATGAGATGCCGTTACGATTCGTGTTAGAATAGCCCCAAAGATTATGGTGACAGTTAAAATCTCCAATATAGATTGTTGGATGTTTATATAATGTATTGGAAAGTTTTCCGGCCAAATCACGTTTGGGGCTTTACATAGGTACACATGCTAATGTGTATGTTAGCAATTTTGCTTGATATTACAAAAATATTTCCGATATTAAACTTTGATATAGGTACATTGGTAATCTTGCAAGTTTTCTTTGACATACGCTGCACAACCATAAATATTACTAGGTATTTATCGAGTCCATTATCTTGTATCCATGAATTAATCCACGAGAGATTAATATTGTCGTTCATTACCTATACGTGTGTGAGTTTCTTGTAAAACGCATCTGCACATTCATATGAAATGCGACTCAAATAGTCGGATTTTTCCTTTGATATTCCTTCGATGTTTAATTGTAGGATTGTAAGGGTATTTAAGTGACGGTCATTATGAATTTGGTTGTTGGATCCATTTTGAGCTTCGTATTGAAAGCTACCGTCTGCCATGTTTACATATCTGTAAAATACGCTATAAAAGAACAGCTCCCCTTACAGTCCTTCTGATTATTCGCCTCAAGTAAATCAATTGCAATTGCAAAATTTAAATGAATTCAGTCACTTACTAAATGCCTGAAAAGCAACCGGCAGATTGTAAAATACGAGCACTAACGCATTCATTTTACTATCTGCCCAAGTTTTATAAAATGACGAGTTATACAAAATGCCTACTACATAATATACAATGTAGATTAAATAGGGACAAAGTTGTCTCTTTGTGTGACTAACAAAACGCATTTGAAATTTTTGAAAAATCTTTGAAAATAACCGAAAAACTGAATATGTTAAATTTTGTTTTCATGTTCCCTAGCTTAAACGGCCGGAAATGGACGTTTCCAGTTAGCACCTTCTTTTCTCAGAGAATCTGAATATATTATCAGAATTTATATAGCACGCTAGATGTAGAAGCTACAGGCTACTACCTACTTTCATTTTTATTACAGACGCCATATTGAATTTTTACGGAATCAAATAGAAGAAAAATAATAACGTAAAATGCCCAACCTGTGCAGAACACAAAGGTGCTCCCGTTCACCCAAAGTCTTTTATTATTTGGAAAAACCACTTCTGAATTTCACATTGTAAATATCACGTAATAACGTAGGTAAATATGTTCTTAAAAGTAAAATTAGATGTACCCCATCACCTTCTGTTGATGTACCTAATGATGCGGAAATATTAATAAAAAAGGAGTAGGTATATTTCTTTAAAACTTACACAGTTATTTGCGCTTATTTGTTTGCAATTTGAACTACAGATATTATACTTTGTTGCAATAACACTTTGTAAATCTCATAATTAATATAAAACATGTTTTTACCACTAATTAAATAAATCTGAGCAAATTACGAGAAAGAAAATCGTATTACACTTTTTGTAAAGAGTAAAAATATTGCATATTTCTAGAAATAAATTTTGGTTCGGAAAAAAGTACTTTTAATTGATCGGAGGGGGGGATACCCCATGCCCTCCTACCCGGAAAGTTTTTGATACTTGGAAACAATTACCAAATATGTAGTTATATGAGTTATGGATCATGTTCAATTCCAATTTTAAATTCATTGAATTTTACAGTCCAGTTGTTTTATAAAAACCATAATCGTTTTTAATTTTTCCCCGTATTTGGTGACCCCCTTGGACACGTTCTGCGACCCCGTAGCGACCCACCGGTTAAGAACCACTGTTAGTAGCCTACAAATTTTTAGCAAAAATTTCCTATTATCCTAGGTCTTATTTTTTGTCGATACTTCTCATATGCATATACCTAAAAATCTTATGTGCGAGAATGTCTAAATTCAGAGCGATATCTACGTTCCTGTTCTTGCATCTTCTTAGAAAAGTGTATGGTAATTTATTATAAAAATATTCTCATTTAGAGAAATTCAACATGTTAAGTCGGTGATAATAATACATGACCACTATTCACTCAATTTTAATGTTACTGAACGACCCGCCATTGTGGTTATCAACAAATCGCTTCGACAAAT